ACAGGGCCATTGCATCCATTTATCTCTGTGACTAAATTTATCAAGGAATCTTGCATGACCTTAGTACATGCATGAGAGGCTCCTTGTTGAAAGAGAGACTTTAAGTTGCCTTTTTTCTACTTAATCAAATGCTTTTTTTGGTAAAAACAACCAACAACAAATGCATCTTACATTTTTTTTTCACATTACAGTCAGCTGTGCAACTGCTAATAGAGAACCATCAAAGCCTGCCTGTTCTCTTCTCACATTTTCACAGAGAATACCCTTGCTAAGCATAAGGATTATTCTCATAAAGAGAAATAAATGAATAAAAAAGCATTAATTGCCATGTTCAAAGCAATGAGAAAGTAGCCATGTGAGTTGGAAGTCAGTGATGTTCTCTTGGTTGTTTCTGGGCATTTGTATTATCAGTCATTGTTTCCTTTCTTTTGGTGTCTTCTACTTCCAGAGGAAAAAATGCTTTCAAGATCATATGGCAACCACCATGGATTTCTCAACTTGTATTTGCTATAGTCCAGTCACTCTTCCCAATTCCATTTTCTCAACTGCCATTTCTACTCCTTCATGTGGCACAGTGACGTTATCAAGGTTCAAAGGTGGTGGTGGTGGTTCCCCTCTACTGATGATGAAAATGGATCACGGCAGAGATGATGATAAAGGTTTTTTCCCCCATTTTATGTCTATAAGTTGTGCTCCTATGAGCTTTTAGTCTTTTGTATTTCTCAGACCTGAGCCATGTTCTCCAACACTGTTTTTTTTTAACCATCTTGACCTGCCCTCAACTTTGCATAGAAGTCAGCAATTATTAAAGAACATACTGACCTGATTTGGAGGGTCTTGTGGAATTCTTCAGAGAATTTCTTTCCTTCTCCTTTGGCAACAGATAACATAAGCTTTAACTATTTTCAGCGCATGTCTTCTTACCTTTCAGCTCACATTGAAATCAACCACACAAACTCCTTTGTTCACATTAATACTAAAAGAAGCATTTTTGGCTCACGTGAACACTCCTGGAAGGTAGACATATTGTGTCCTCAATGTGCTGAGTGTCAGGTGAAGGCCAAGATTTAACATTCTATGAAGATAATCAACACGGTGGCTCCAAGCCTATGGATTCCCCAAACATGATGATGTAGGAACTAGAGAATAGGTGGCTCAATATGAATAGTGTGAGACATTCCTTCAAAAGACAGGGGAATAAACAGTGGGAAATTCAACCCTGGATCAGAATCTCAGGAAGCCTGGGGAGAGGAACTCCGCACCAAAATGGCTAACAAGGAGTTCACACCCAAGGTAAGGAAATAGTAAGAGTCTCTAACTGCCCTTGATGACTTCAAATCACCTGGGCCAGACGAATTATCTCCTCAGGTACTTAAAGAGGATATGATTACTGGACTACTATCGGTAATATTTTAAAGATCAGGAAGAAAGGGAAAGATCTCGTAATACTGGAGAAGGACAAATGTTTTGATTTTCCAAAAGGGGAAGATAATATAGCCTGCAAACTATAAATCAGTGATTCTGATTTCAGTCCCTAGGGAAAATCTTAGAATAGAAAATTAAAAAGATGATTAATGAACAACTAGAAAAGGAAGGGGTGAGTATGAAGAATCATCACGATTCTATCAAGGAGATGTCATCCCAGAGTAAATTTTCCTTGGGTTATTAAACTGGTAGATCAGAAGAATGCTATAGAGTTAGTTTATTCGGATTTGAGCAAAACATTGGATTAAATATCTCTTAATATTTTTGTGGAAAAAATGGAGAGGTGTGGATTGGAAAGCAATACAGTAAGTTGGATTCAGCATTGGTTGCATGTTTGGACTCAAAGAGTAGTTAATAATTTTGTGTCATCTTGGAAGGAGAGCTTCAGTGGAGGGCCCCAGGGACCTATGCTTGGCCTTGGGCTGTTTAACATTCTTATCAATGACTTGCAAAAAGGAATAGATGGAATGTATATCAGATTTGGAAATGACACAAAGCTGGGAGGGATAGCTAATGTACTAGGATCAGCTTCTTAAACTGTGGGTCATGACCCTATATGGGTCATGAAAAATTTGGCAACAGTAAAAGGTTTCTGAACACATAACAACCAAAAATTAATTAAAAATCAAACATGTAATGAATCCAAGGTGTTTCTGGCAGCACTTGCTCGTGTTGCATCATGCAACTTCATTGCAGCCTTAGTTCTGAACACAATGCATGTACATTTTGCACTGCACATGCCATCACGTTATGCAATGCCAATAAATGCTGCCAAAATGCAAAAAGGTGTGGCGAGTGGAAAAAAATTTAAGAAGTGCTGCACTAGGTGACAAAGTCAGGATCTAAAAGGATCTTACCAGGCTAGAGCATTGGGCTAAATTTAACAAGTTGAAATTCAATAGGAATAAATATAAAGTCTTACACTTAGGTTCAGAAAAGCAACTCCATGATGGTGACAGGCACAGTTAGAGGCTTCTCTGAAAAAGATCTGGGGGTTTTAGCAAGCTGTAAGCTCAATAGAATTTGACAATGTGATGAGGAAACCAAGAAAGCTCATGTGATCTTTGCCTGTATCATGAGAGACCTAGGTTCTGGGAATGGGGAGGTGATCATTCAGCTGTGCTATTCCCTGATCAGACCACTTCTGGAGGCTCCAGGGTTGGGCACCACTTATTAAGAACAACATTAATAAGCTTGAGAATGTCCAGAGGAGAACAACCAGGATATGAGAATCAGTTGAAGGAACTGGAAAGGTTTAGCCGGGACAAGAGAAGACTCATGAGAGATGTGAGAGCAGTTTATACTTGTTTTGGTTGACTCCAGAGAACAGGACCCGGAGAAATAGGCAAGAGTTGCAAAGAGGCCAGTTTCGGCTTGGTGTCTAACATTTAGAACCACCCCTAGGGAGGTAGGTGGGTTTCCATTCTTGGGAGGTCTTCAAGAAGAGGCTGGATGACTACTTTCCAGGAATGCTGTGGTTTGTAGGCTTGCAAAATTGTACTGCAGGGACATTAAAAGAAAGTTTAGTCGACATCATTCACCTCCAGGGTGATGAAGCTGAGGCCCAGGGAGTGATTGAGGTCACATAGGCAGGAAGAGGCAGAGTTGAGGTTTGAACTCATGTTCTCTGACACCAAAGCCAGGGTTCTTTTCACTGAACCAAACTGCCCCCAGATTCTTTTTCATGTATAGGTAATGGGGATTCTTTTAGGAGGATGTGTTGGACTAGATGACTGTTGATGTTTCTTCTAGCTCTAAAATTTTGTGATCAAGAGAAAGAAGAACTGTGAACTTAAATAGGCCCTTTATGATCTGGCTACATTACCTGATCATTAGCTGGCAGAGTTCTGAACCCCTTCTTACCTGCCACTGGATTCTTGGCAAGAAAGTGTGGACTGTTCTTTGTAAGCTGTCTCTCACCTCTATAAATAATTGATTCACTTGGTACTACTAAGTATATAAAACCCAATATAGGAAATAACATTATTTTCTAGCCTTAGAAGAGTTTAAGATTCTGAGGACAGAGGAAGTCTCTCAGACAATCAGTGGATCAGCCAACAATGTTGACAGAAAGGACTGTAATAAATTATTTGGGGCAATAGAGGGGAGGAAAAAGAGATGAAAAGATATATGTACAAACAAACAACATATACCTAAAAGCAGAGATACCAATAAAAGCTGTACAGAGATATAGAGTAAAACCCTAATGGCAATGGTTCAGGCAATGAAGGAGTCTAAATAACTGAATATGTATATGTATATATATGTGTGTGGGTGTGTGTGTATACACACATATATACATATATGTATACATGTATATGTGTGTCTGTATACACACACATATATATGTATATAAAATTTATACTTTGTTGTATTAGAAAGTCTAGTGTGGAGGACACAACAAAATTGCTGTTTGCTAATTGGGCCATTGATATGACTGTCCAGCACAGTCTTGGAGATACAAGAGATCTGGCTAAAAGTTAACCTAACCCAGACCATGCCTTGTAGGAGGTGGCTTTTTCAATCAGTCTCTGATCCTAGCTTGGTTTCCTGTGAGTTGCTAATTTTACTTACACTTCAGGGCAGCAAAGATTCTGGTTGATTAAGGGCCCTGGCTAATTAGCTTTCACTTAATTGAGGTTTTATCGTAATTCCTATCTCATTAATTTGGAATCTTTAATCATCTGGACAAGAGAAGGGCTGTTTTGCTATCACTCATCATCTGGGGAAAGGCCTTGCTAATTAGTTAACAACATAACCAAGAGTGTGTGTATATGTATGTGTGTGGGGAAAATGTTTAACAATAATAACAGTAATAACATCTAACACTTAGTGCCTACTATGTGTCAGGCACTGTGCTATGCACTTTACAATTTCATTTGTTCCTTACTACAACCCCAGGTAGGTGCTATTATTATCCCCATTTTACAGATGAGGAAACTGAGGCAAACAAAGATTCAGAACCTTGCTTAGGGTCACATAGCTTGTGAGGCCAGATTTGATAGCAGGTCTTCTTGACTCCAGGCCCTGAACTCTAGCCACTGCACCACCTAGCTGTGAAACTTAAAAAGTATAAACCTTTCAAATATTTTAGCAGCACCCATGTTCATACAAGCAAAGCTCTAATCACAAATTATCCTTCATTATTTGTGGGCCATTATTTATTTATTATGTATTATACCTATCATATTTATTACTTGTCAGTCTTTATTTGTCAGTCCACCAGGATGGCTACTTTGGTAATATCTTGTTTATCACTAATTGTGGTTATTATATGTGCTTAAAGTTAATGATCTTATGATCATTGAAAGAATATTCTCTATTCTTCTCAACTCATAGCAAGCTTGTATTATTGGCTTCTCTCTGTGCTCTAATCTGGACTCTTTTAATCTAGTTCAATTCAATAAATATTTAGAAAGGGCTTACTGTGCACAAGGCACTGTGCTATGTGGTGGGGATACAAAGACAAAAACAAAACAGTCCATGGCCTCGTAGGGATTACACTCTACACATACCCAGAGCTGATCATCACGGCCAGAAAGGTTCTTCTTTATGAACGCACCATAGTAGGTAGCAATGTTCCTGTGATGGGAATATTTCTTAAGCATGTTGATTTCCATTTTGATTTCCTCCTCTTCATCCTGTAGAACAAGAACAGACAGTGGGTTTTATTGTCAACTCTGTGCCACGTGCCTCAAAGATTATGGATCACCTTAGCTGGTGGAGATCAAAGGATAAAGAAAGCATAAGAATTGTACCAGGTCACAGCAAGGGCCAATGAGATTTATATGATTACTGTAAATTAACGCAGTGGAGAGGTGTCAGGGGACAGAATTTGTAGGTCAGGTTCTATTTGGTTTCTATCATATGGTGTTATGTTTTAGGGGACATGAGTTGTCAGAGATTCAGTCCCTACCCTACTGTATAAATGGGGCACTTTCATTCGTGGGTGTTAAAACTACCTCTTTTAAAAGCTTTATGGAATATACCTAGCTGAGGACAATGTATATCAAACAGAAAGAGCTCCCAGACTGAAAATTAGGATACCTACATTCTAATTCTGCTCATTGGCTCCAGGCAAGTCACTTAATCTTTCCAGGGGCCCTCAGGAAAAATTGGTGGAAGAATGACAACACTAAGGGTGCTGCTATAAATATCTTGTTATATATAGATCTTTCTGTCATTTACTTCGTTGGGGTATAGGCCCAGTAATGGGATCCCTGCCTCAAAGTTTATGAACAGTTTAGTGATTTCTCTCTCATGATTCCACATTGCTTTTGCAGAAACGATTACACCAATTCACAGATCCAACAACAAAGTAATTAGGTGCTTTTCTTCCTTACAACTCCTCCAAAACTGATCATTTTAACTTTTCATCTTTGCCAATTTTGGGGGGTATAAGAGGAAGGGTCAGTGCTTTTGATTTGCATATCTTTATTATTAATGATTTGGGGCATTATTTTACATTGTTGTCAATCATTTGCATTTCTTCATCTGAAAACGGTTTGTTCAACTCTTTTGATTACTTATCCATTGAGCAATGGCTCTTGGTTTTTTATACAGGGTATCCCAAAATCTTTGCTCAATTTTAAGTTTTTAAGTTACTAAAGCTTTTAAAATTGGGATAACACCACTGAAGACCAAATCAAAAGCTAGAATGGTGGGATAAATGGGATTTCAAGAGTCACACTCTTACCTGCACTGGACAAGAGACATGTAAAAAGGATTATAGTAGTAAACATTTAAAAAAAATTAGGCTTGTTTCATAGGAAGCAATACTATCTCTGCTGGCTTCCTTAGACTCAGATCCCACTCTTCTACTTCCTTAAGTTATTAAAACTGCACTAAGACTTTTAGGATATCCTGCATAATTGTGTTAATTCCCTATGTATGATGAATATCAGATTTTTCTCACAGATATTTGAAACGAAACTTATTGCCTTTCCTCCCCCAAATGACGGTTTCTGTTATGCTGGTTGCACTGATTTTGTTCATGCAAAAGCTTTTTAATTCTTTTAAACAAAATGATCTATCTTATCTCTTAGGATTTCTATATTCCTTGCTTGGTTGAGAATTTCCTCTCTATCCATAGTTATGAAAGCTATCTGGTTTTGTTTTCTTCTAATTTTTAATGACATGACCTTTTATATTCATGTGCGTATCCACTTTGAGCTCATTTCAGTATATGGTGTAAAATGCTGGTCCAAATCTAAAGTATGCCAAGCTGCTTTCCACTTTTCAGAAAATTCCTTGTTGATTCCTTTCGCTAGTAATTTGTTTTCTTTGATTTATCAAATATTGGGTTTCAACTGCTTCTGGGTCTTGCTTATCTAGTTTTTTTTTTTTTCTCATTGATCTTTTCTATTCCAATATAATACGATTTTTTTTTTTTTTGCTTAGGCAACTGGGGTTAAGTGACTTGCCCAGGGTCACACAACTAGTTAAGTGTCAAGTTTCTGAGGCCAGATTTGAACTCAGGTCCTCCTGGCTCCAAGGCTGGAGCTCTATGCACTGCGCCACCTAGCTGCCCCAATATAATACTATTTGATGGAGGGAAAAAGAAACAATAACTGAATGTTACTGGTATGAACTCATTTGATGCTTACTGCTTTGTAATGTAGATTATGAGTCATCTTTCTACGTTCAAATCCAGCCTCAGATACCTACTAGCTGTGTGACCCTGGGCAAGTCATTTAACCTTGTTTACCTCAGTTCTTCATCATAAAATGAGCTGGAAGGAAAATAGCAAACCATTCCAGTATCTTTGCCGAAAAGACCCCAAAGGAGGTCACAAAGAGTCAGACACAACTAAAAAACAACTGACCAACAACTGTATGTGTATGTTGTGGGTTTTTTTGGTTGTTGTTGTTTTTTTACAAGGAACAATTCTATCTCTGCTGCCTTCCTTAGATTCAGATGCCACTCTTTTACTTCCCTAGACCAGTTTGCTAATTTTTTTTCTACTTTTACTACTATAATCCTTTTTATACTTCCCTTGCCCAGTGCAGGTAAGAGTGTGAATATTGAAATCCTATTTATCCTACCACTCTACCTCTTGATTTGGTCTTCAGTGTTGGCATTCCCAACTTCAAGAAAGGCGAAGTCCCTTCCTCTCCTTCCCCTCTCCTCTAAGGTTTTTCTTTCTGAACACCTAATCCCAAGGCTTTTCTCTTTATTCCTTCAATAACCCCTAGATGAATGGAGATTCCAAATAGACAGTAAATTTATGTTCTCTTTTAGTATATGAGGAATCACTACAACATTGTTGAGCCATGTGGATTTGTCTCAAACTATGAGGACTTGATTACTTTTCTTAAGTTTCTTTTGTATGCTGGATTTTTATTTCAAACATCATGTTCAGTGCTGATTTTCTTAAAAGGAAGGCTTAGAAATCATTAATTCTGTTAAAAATTCTCCTTTTTCCTGCTTTAAAGTTAATCTTAACTTTGCAGGAAAAATTATCCTTGAATGCAAGCCATTTTTTATTGCTTCTTGGTTTCTTTCATTTCTTTCCCTGGACAGTTCAGATAGGAGTTCCTTGTTATATGAGCTGTCTTTTCCTGGCTGCTTATAATATTTTCTTTTTGACCTAGATACTCTGGAACCTGGGGACTAAATTTCCGGCTATGTTCGACCAATGGTCTATCTTTGGTGGAGTTCTGAGGATTCTCTCAATCTGCATTTTGTCAACTAGTTACAATATTTATAGTCAATTTTATCTTATGATTTCCCAAAATATAGCACTTAAACTTTTTTTTTTAAATCACGAGTTTCTGGAAGACCAATAATTTACAGATTGTCTCATTTAATTCTGTATTACTACTCAATTGTCTTAGCTTGTTGAAACTTCATGTGTTATTTCAATTTTGTTGTCTCTCGATGGTTCTAATATTTCTTGTTGGATCACTAAACTTTTGTGTTTCATTTCAATTTTCTCTTTTAAGGGTATCTTCAAAAATTTTTGTATTTATGCCTTTTGTTTTTTTATACCACAGTCATTTCTAAATGTACCCCCATACAACCATATACTAAACCCTCCTATGTAAGACAGAAAAACAATTCAGTAAAACTGACTAATAAAATGACCATGTTGGATAGCATACGCAATATTCTTCATCTATAGGCCCTTCCTCTCCACCTGTCTAAAGAGAAAAGGAAGTGTGTTTCATCATCTGTTTTCCAGGATCAATACTGGTCATTGCAGTTAATCTGAGCTGAACGTCCTTTAAATGTTGATTTCATCTACATCACTGGTCACTGTGTATACTGTTCTTCTGGTTCATCTTACTTTGCTCTACACTAGTTCATATAGGTTTTCCTATATTTCTTTGAATTCCTCACATTTGTTATTTCTTACAGTGGATGTTTCATTATACAGATATATCATGATTTATTTAGCCATCTGTCATTCAGTGAGAACCCATTTTGTTTCCAGGTTTATTTGTTGTTTTTTTTTTTTTTTGCTAACACACAAATGCTCACTGCTCTGTTAAATGAGAACATACACAAATAATTATAGTATAAAATATATAGGACAAGAAAGTAGGTTCTATGGATAGTAATAAATATATATACATATATATACACACACATATATATATAAATTTGGAAATAGGCGTTTTTTATCCACTTGGTTTTTCCTGCATGTATCCATGTATATATTCCTGCATATATATCCATGCCTATTACTAAGGGAAACAAAGGTGTGGGTACATCTCCTTATTTTATGCCTTGCCTGGTTTTTATAATCAGAGGGTCTTTGAACAACATTATTTTTGTTGATGCTTCTTTCAAGGAATCTTGGATAATTTCCACATGTGCCTTGGAGATACCTTGTGGGAGGAAAACCTTTAAGGCAGCATTGTGTTTGACTGAATCAAATGCTTTTTTGTACTCAACAAACAACAAAAACAGTGGGATCTTGCATTCTCTGCACTTTTTGGGTAATTCTGTGACTATATAGAGGTGGTCTGCTGTGGAACATCATTTGTAAAAGGCTTTCTGTTCCCTTCTTATATCCTCATTAAGTATTCCTTTGATATGCTTTGATTATTTACATTAAAATGGTGTAAAGACAGGAAAGGAAGCATTTGGGTTAGGAGTTGATTGAAAATCTCTCCATTGCCTTTTTTGGGGAAGTTATAATCTGGAATCTTTTACACCTTTCTTTTAGATAATGGTCCCTCTGAAAACCGTCACCTTTGGCATCCAACATGTATCTCCATTGTGTATAAAATGGGCCTAGCCTAACTATTCTTCCAATGTTTGTTTCCATTAATGCCAGTTCTACCATTTCTCCTTTTTAAGCAGCACCCTGGGTTGGGTTACCAGACTCTGAGCATGGTAGACCACTCCCCAATTACTGATGGAAAGAATCATTCGTTATAGGTATCCTGAAAGACCTTTTCTATTTTTTATTTATGTGTTTTCCTTTTTCCAGTTTCATCTTTACATACTCTTGGGCTGGTCTGGCTTAAATAGGTCTTTGGCCAAGTCATTAGCAGCCTTGTTTCTTCCTCCCCCCTTTCTTGCCGTTTTCTAAGAAGATAGTGCTGGAGGGTAGTACAAGCCAGTAGATAATTCCAGATTGTCTGGGTCTGGGTCTAAGTACAATGGAGGAGGAGGGGGGCAAATTAGAGGG